TTACAGTATCTTTGTTGTTTAAAGTATCTTTATTGTTTACAGTATCTATTGGTTACAGTATCTTTATTGTTTACAGTATCTTTTGTTTAGTGTCTTTATTGTTTACAGTATCTTTTGTTTACAGTATCTATTGTTTACAGTATCTTTATTGTTAACAGTATCTTCATTGTTTACAGTATCTTTGTTGTTTACAGTATCTTTATTGTTCACAGTATATTTTGTTTACAGTATCTATTGTTTACAGTATCTTTGTTGTTACAGTATCTTTGTTGTTTACAGTATCTATTGTTTACAGTATCTTTATTGTTTACAGTACCCAGAGCTCCAGAGATTGACGTCTCCAGCTGCGTTGTCCGTGATAACACAGTTACGGTTGCCTGGCAATCTGCCGGTGAGGCTGACAGCGATGGCGAGGGTGTCGGCGGAAGAATCGAACGCTACGAACTTGAATATCGAAAAACAAACCGCGACAGCTCGCTGAGAGCCGCAGGAGAGGCATGCTGGGAAAAAATCCACGACATCAGAGAGACACACGTCACCATTTCAGGTACTTTGTGTGTGTACTGCTAACTAGCTAATGTTAGCATGCTAACACTAAACTAAGATGACAAACATTGTACTAGCTACCTCATTGTAGCATGTAGCCTCACAGAGCTGCTAGCCTTTCAAATTAGTTTATTTAAAAAAACAAATGTTTAATAATTTAAAAAGAGTTGAGTAGAGAAAATATAATAGTTTTAATAGGTTTATTGTGAAAATAAAATGTTTCATTATTTGAAAAGAATTTATTATAATAAACAAAATATTTAATTATTTTCAATTAGTTTATGATGAAAATAAGATGTTAAATTACTTAAAATTAGTTTATTATTAAAAAGATATTTAATTTTTTATATTTATTTTTCGTAACGTTTTATTATTTTATTATTATTATTCTGTTTCAGGTCTGAAGTTTGACTCTCGCTTCGTCGTCGTTCGAGTTCGAGCGAGAAACAAAGCTGCAGCCGGCGAGTTCTCTGAGCCCGTTGCCATGGAAACCAGAGGTGATCACATGATTGAGTGGACGAGTGGACACATGTTTCTGTTTTTTCATGAGGGAGCGACAGACATGAAGACAGAATGAGAGATATTGTTCTTAAAATCCAACATTATGAATTTATATATTTATGTTGCTGTTTTTGCTTCATTTTGTTAGTTGGTTTATTTTTACTGAAACGCTCGTCATACATGTTTTGTTTTCATTATAATTAAGGAGGCATTTTATTTATTGTGAAGGTACCTATTTTTCTTGTTTTATCACAGCGTATAACTTCTTCTACTTGTTTTATTGCAGCTTATAACTTCTTCTTCTACTTGTTTTATTGCAGCGTATAACTTTGGCTTCGATGCGGTGACGGCTCACGCTGAGCTGAAGGTTCAGGGCGACTCTGTGATCTGGGAGCCTCAGGGGGTGAAAGGCCACGACCCCCGGCTGAGAGGGAAAGAGAATAAGAGCAGGTGAGGGAAACGTGTCACCGATGATGTGTTATTATGAGCAGGTGAGGGAAACGTGTCACCGATGAAGTCGTGTTATTAACAATCTCTCCACAAAGTCCATTTAGAGTTAATTTAGCTTTTGGCCCGCTTTAATCTTGAGTTGTTTCTTCTTCTGCTGCTGTGTTTGTTTGTGTTTTGACCTTTTTGTCCCTCTTCAGTCTCCGTACGTCGTCCTCTCCGACTCGCTCAGGTAGAGACTTGTCATCGCTGACAGGTTGCCTAGCAACCGCTGTGTCACCAATCACTTTTCCGCATCTGCCATTTCTCACTTCATGCGGCCAATCACATCACTGCTGACGTCAGCGTTTACAGTTTCAATCAAATCTTTAGATCTGTTTGTTTTTTTGAATTGTGTCACATTTTTAAACTGTATGTTTGTATTTTGTTTTTATTATTCAAGCAGGTTCAACTTATAGAAAAGTATGTTTTTATTTTGTTAATTAAAATGTTAAAGATATTACATTTTTAATTTTCAGAAATGTATATCAGGACTTTATATAAAAGATAAACTGTTTTCACTAAAAGTATCATATATTTGATATTTTCTACTTGCGTATATTTTGTTAAAATATGTCTATTTTAAAGCAAAGTACTTATATTTAGTACAATATTACAATTATGCGTCATTTTAATCAGTTTAAAGTTATATTCCGTGTTGTTTTCTTCACATTTTTTCATCTTTTTCTCTGCTGCATCATTGCTTTGGCACGACCTCATTGGCTGTTTCAACTCGTTGTTTTCCTACTTTTACTATCTGGGAGGTTTTAAGGGATTTTAAGTCTTTTAACTTCTAACTTCTAGTTTATTTTTATTTAATTAGCAGCAGAAGCGCCACACCGTCACCCAATAAAACGGCAGGAAGTCGATCAGGACGCGACCGATTCGCTGGAGAGTCGTACACAGTACTGGGTACTTCACACTAATACCTCATATCGATACTACAACTAATGCTAATACATGTACATTATGTCTTTTAGAAGTTTCAGTGTTGTTGACTTAGCACTTGCTTTTATTTTGACAGTTATAACAAAGACACCGATTGTTAAATCTAAATGCAGACTTTTATTCTGAAGGTTGCAACATTATTTTATAAATATTTAGTATTTAAATTCTTAAATGTTTTCTACTTGTTCAAAATTACCTTCGATCTCTTTCCGTCTCCTAGGTGACCAGGAGATGGCCGGCAGCTGTCACTACTGGGAGCTCCGCCCTCTCACTGACTGGAAGTCGTTCAGCGTGGGCGTGGCCTATCGGGCCAGTCTGGGCCGCTTTGACCAGTTGGGGAAAAGTGCTGGTTCGTGGTGTCTCCACGCCAGCCAATGGCTGCAAAGCTCGCTCGCTGCGAAGCACAACAACAAAGCGAAGGTGCTCGATTGGCCACTGCCTCAGCGAATCGGAATCTACTGCGACTACGACAACGGTACCGACAAAAGAGTTCAAACTTCAACTTCTTTAACTACATTATCTGTCAATTCAACACATATATTACCAAAGTATTTTAGTACCACGAAAAGTATTTGAACATTTTCAGTTGTTTTACATTAATGAGGAAGTTCTATGTTGAGTTTGTGGGAAAGACTTTTATTATGAAAGACTTGATTAGATTTAGTGTTGTGTATTACTACTGGCATTTATTTTGAAGGTTATGATAGAACTTTCAGTTCTATCATCTTCTGTCAGTTTGAGCAAATTACTGACTTTTATTTTGAAAATAATTTTGAAAATTGTACCTTTTATAGATTTTTGATGTTGAGAATCAGGATGAAATTTATTTTCAGTTTGAAAAAAACAAAAAAAATATTGGACCTAGATTTAGAGCTCATTTGAACTGAAAATATTTTTTATCACCTGATGTGTTTCTCTCTTTGTGTTTCAGGTGATTTATCGTTTATCGATGTTGATCGACATCGTCTCCTTCACTCCTTCAAAACAAAGTTCAGCCAACCGCTGATCCCCGCCTTCACAGTCAGTACTACACCACACTGTAGCAATACTACTGTAGTAATACTACATCACACTGTAGCAATACTACTGTAGTAATACTACATCACACTGTAGCAATACTACTGTAGTAATACTACACTACACTGTAGTAATACTACACCAACCTTGCCTTCACAGTCAGTACTACACCACACTGTAGCAATACTACTGTGGTAATACTACATCACACTGTAGCAATACTACTGTAGTAATACTACACCAACCTTGCCTTCACATTCAGTACTACACCACACTGTAGCAATACTACTGTAGTAATACTACATCATCCTGTCTTTCAATGCAGTACTACCCCACACTACAGTAATACTACTGCAGTAATACTGCATCCTAAAAACCTTCACTGTCAGTACTACACCACACTGCAGTATTACTACATCCTCCAGCACTTGTCCTCATCGAATCGCAGTACTGACTGTAGTAAAACTGTGTTGCAGGTTTGGTGCGGTGGTATCACCATAACAACGGGCCTGCAGGTGCCGAGCTTCATGGGTAATTTCCTCTCCACCAATCAGAGCCTCGGCAACCTGTCGCAGTAGATCGACTTTCTCTTATCTCCTGTTTTTGTTTTATTTTTGATAATTATCATTAATTTATTCATTTTCTACATTTGTATATATTCATTTTAATTTATACCACAAATAATAATATATATATATATATATATATAGAAAATACTTGTGAATTGTTGTCTTTATCAAATATGATCTGGAAATATAAAATAAATGTGATATTTAAAGACTTTTAATGAATTTAGAAGATATATTGATTATTGTTATCTGCTCTGTTTTGACAGTCTGGACCTAAAGCCATAGTTTTAGTTTGAGTGCTTTTATTTTGAAGATGTACTAACTTTGTCTGTTAGCTTGGGCTTTTATTTTGACTGATTTTGTAAAATAGAAAAAACAAAGATCACAAGTGCCGACTGCTGTTTGCAAACAGTGTTTATAAACATCAACTTGTGATATAAGACTTTATTAAAACATCAAACGGGAGGAAAGAGGAGACAGTAAACACCTCACCGGCTTTCAATAGTAAACGTATTGTTTTTATATTTCAGACATTTATTTTGAAGATAGCATCAGAAAAAAGGCCTATTCCCTCTGGCTTTTATTTTGAAGGCTGTAACAAGCTCTGATTTATGTTGATGTTAATGAGGAAGTTCTATGTTGACTTTGTGTGAAAGACTTTTATTATGAAATACTTGATTAGATTTAGTGTTGTGCATTCCTACTGGCTTTTATTTTGAAGGTTATGATAGAACTTTCTGGTACTTTGACCAAATGACTGACGTTTAGTTTGAAAATAAATTTTCAAATTGCACTTTTATAGATTTTTCTTGTCTTTTCACTTGATGTTGAGAATCAGGATTCAATTTATTTTCAGTTTTTAATAAATGAAAATATCGGACCTGGAGTCAGAGCTCATTTATACTGAAAATCTAATCATTAAATGGTTTATATTTATTGATTCATCATGCTTATCACATCTGAAATCAGCTCTGATTCAAATGTTTTGTATCGAACATTTTGATTAACTGTGAAAAAATGAAATAAAGTTTAAAACCTGTGGAAAAATGTTTCAGAGGTTCACTTTGACTTTTTCTCACAAACGATGTCTTGAAGCCCTTCATTTATATTTAGGCTTTTAATGTGAAAAAAACAGGAAGTGTAGCAGTAACAGTAGCTCAACATGAATCTCAGAGGTTGTTGGTTCAAATCCCATTTAAAGAAACTTTTCTACAAACAGATCAGAAGGAAGGGAGGAAGGGAGGAAGGGGGAAGATAAGAAGGGAGGAAAAAAGGACGATAAGGAGGGAGGATGCAAGGATGGGAGGTAAGAAGGAAAGAAGAGAGGATGTAAGGAAGGGAGATAAGAAGGGATGACGCTAGTGAGGGAGGTAAGATGGAAGATATAGGGAGGAAGGAAAGGAAGAAAGATAAGAAGGGAGGATGCAAGGAAGGGAGATGAGAAGGGATGAGGCAAAGGAGGGAGGTAAGAAGGAATGAAGAAAAAAAGGGAGGAAGGAGGTGAATATGACGCTTCATTTATTATTAAATTTTTCTGTTTTATTTTGAAACCCAGATTATTATTTTTATAATAAAACCTTTTTTTTAAGAAATATTTTTTGGTCAAAGTAAAAAAAATTACAAAAGTGATTCAGACAGTTTGAAATGAAAACAAAACAGTTTCTAATGTAAAATACAGGATTTTAAAAACAAAAACTAAACATTGAAATAAGAGACGGGAGGGGGAGGGGCGAGGAGCCCGTCTCCATGGCAACAGAACAACAGAGCACAGAGAGAGAGGAAGAAGAGCGAAGGACTGTAGAGAGAGAAGAAGAAGAAGAAGAGTTACTGATCAGCAGGTGAGGAAGAAACACGTCTTCTTCACTTTTATATTTTCTGAATATCATTTCATCAACAATTGTTTATTGAAGATCGCGGTGAGTTTTCTCTCTTTAATAACTGTACATAGTATTATTAAACAATCATTAAATACTTAAAGTAAATATAATAAAAGCTGTTAACTAATTACAGATAATATTATTACAATAAAGCTCAGGGCTCTTTATTATTGATTTTGTGATTGTCTGTTTCCTTTCTCTGCTGTGACCTTTAAATGCTGCATTTCATTTCTTTAAACAGAGTTTTGATTCTTTGCTTTTATTCTGAAGGCCAGACAAATATTTCAGAAATTTTACTTCAAGAAATTCAAGCTCTCGTTTGACTGAACACTACACTGATTAATTAACCCTTTGTGATAAATAAAATTGATAAGTGTATGAAGAACACCCTAAATTCTAAAAAATGACCGTAAAAATGTGGTTTAATTTATGTTAAATTACTAAATTTGATGACTGCACATTTTGCTGTTTCTTATTCATATCCTCACTGTTTCTTATTATTTATATTACCACCATATATTAGTACATTAGTACATTAGTATTAGTACATGTTGTCTCTGCAGTACGATGACAGTGAAGATGAACCTAATTGTCTAACTTAGATTTAAGAAGACAAATAATGGCCTTTTAGTTATTCAAGAGTTTTTTAAAGCTGATATATAAAAAGGTTTAATCTGGACACCAGACTGTAGTTTAAATATACTGTGAAACTGTCCTTCAAAGTATTTATTTTATTGTATTTTTTTTATTGAACAAAATAAGTCAACTTTACCTTTCTTCTCAGTTGCTGATTTTAAATTTAAAGTGATTTAAAGAAACTAAAAGTTAATTTTAAACAACATTTTTACATGTTTTTAAATCATATATATTATGTATATATATATATATATGTATATATATATATATATCTTTTGTCTTAAGTAACGATGGCCTGTTTCTGTGGAAACTGGGATGAGTTTTATGGAGAAGTCCTCCTATTGGACGAGAGGAAGATGTCACTGACGGCTGAGCGAGGCATCAAGGTGAGAAACAACTTCCTGTTTTCATTGTTTTATATTTCCGTTTCTTCTGTTCTTTTGTTTCATCTCTTCTCATTTGTTGTCTTCCTGTTGAGCTCCTGTGTTTTAGTGACTCACCTGAACTCTGAGGTCACACTTGATGAAATTAAATCTTTCCTTTTTTTATTCTCAGAAATCTTCCAAGGTGGCGGCCATCTTGAATCAGGTGTTTTCTCACCTGGACGTTTCTGAAGTCGAGTTCTTCGGTTTGAGGTTCTGTGACAACAAACAGCAGATGGTGAGAAAAGTTTTCTTTAAATACATTTTGTTCATTTAGTTTAATTTACAGAGAAGTTCAATTCCGTTTAAAGGGGTTATATGATTCTAATTTTAAGGTTCAAACTTTTATTTTGGGTTTCTATTCCCTAACATTTACACGCTTTAATGTTTATATATATATATTAGTGCTGGGCAACGATTACAATTTTTAATCGCGAATACGTGTTTGATAACTTAATTGTTTTGCATTAAATCATTCTGGGATGTTTGCTGAAATTGATTGGATGTGGCACAGCCCTACCTAGAACATGTTCCACCAGCCGCCACTGTATATATATATATATATATATATATATATATATATATATATATATATACTACATCAGTGGCGGGCCGTGCATTTTATACCTGGGCCTTCAGTGCTGTCCTGCAGCTGAAATACCTCCTAATAACCTCATTATGACGCCACAGCTACGGTTATTATTTGTTTCTAGGGGTGTAACAATACACGTATTCGTATTAAACCGTTCGGTACGAGGCTTACGAACCGAACAATACGTTTGAATAATACTAGTGCATTTGGAAAATGCAGAAGCTTAAATTGTGGGAAATATAATGTTTTCGGTGGACTGTGCTCACGTGGGAGACAACGGGCTGTGTGACCTCTGAACCCGGAACAAAAAAACCCAAAACAAAAGACAGCTGAGGCCCCGCACTTCTGGGAGGCTACGCTAAACTAGCTTAACAAACAATAACTCCGCGCATGACGGTATGCTTCGTAATTAACGGACAATGCATATAGTCCAAATCTATATAATTAACACAATGACAACAACAAACTCACAAGAACCAGTCACATATATTCATATGACAACAGAGCAACAAATCAATCCAGCAGACCTGCAGCAACACGCATTCTGCTGCACACTGGAGGGCCGGTCAGATATTAGATGTAAAAAAACAAGCACAGTTGACTTAAAGACAAACTCCATCCTCCTTTCTTTGTTGACAAAGAGTTTAATCCCACGGTTAAACCCCAACTCACAAATCCGTTTCTCCTCCTTAAACTCTACTTAAAACAAGCTGCACTGGAAGCAGAGCAACTGAGGAAGACAGGAGCTATGCAATGAGAAAATAAGATAATGGGGAAAATATTTATATAAATTATAATACATGTAGTGTATTTAATAGTGTATTAAATTATACAATAGCTATAACTTTGTGATTCTGTTTAAGCCAGCAGAGAAAGCCTTGCAGGCCCTGACGGCCTATCACTGCTATATATACATACTATATCTATAATGTCATATCCAGCATGAAATCTGACTCATTCATGTTTTCATCTGACGCAGCGGGAGAAAACGAGAGGGTGGTCTTTTTTGATATTTCTGGGGTCTCTAGACACTTTATTTTGAAAAGCCATGAAAAAGAACATATTGCATAATATGTGACATTTAATTAAAATGAATTTACTTGTGTTTTTGCTTCTAACAGCACTGGTTGGATCCATCAAAAACTGTTTCACAGCATCGAGACCTCGGTGAGTTTCTCTCAAACAAACGGACAGAAATAAAACGTATCAAATCTAAAAACAATAAAACTAAATACATTTTTTTCAGTGTTTTTGTTTTGTTATATTTCTTAATTCTTCATCATTATGTTTCAGTAACTATCAAACAGACTGTAAAGAACAAATGTGCAGTAAATTTAGAAATATGTTCAATAACAATCTATTTCAGTAATCATATTTTATTTATTACCTATTACTATTGGACAAACATTATATTGATATTTTTCTCAATCTTACTGTTTTGTCACAGTCGGGCCACCGTACATTTTCTACTTTGGTGTAAAGTTTTATATTGAGGATCCGTCGAAGCTGAAGGACGAAACTACATGGTACATTATTATTATTATTATTATTATTATTATTATCACTAGATGTATAGTTGGGATTACATTTATTTAGTAACTGAACATTTGGTAACTTTGAATATTAATATTTTGTATTTATTTTAGGAACAGTTATTGGTGTAACTAGTATTAAATATAACTTCCACATATCTCAAGTTGGTATCCATATAATTAAAAATATTTCTTTGAGATAAAATTTGATTGTGTAATGTGTTCAAATAATTATCAATGTTGTTCTAAAATTATGTCTCTAAAATATAAATCAGTAATATTTATTATATTTAAATTTTTGGATATTTTTGAAATTTTATTTCTTGTTTTTTAAAGCGACTAAAGGAACTTTCCTCCTGTGTTGACTCTGGCGTCCCCTGTGGACTAAAGTGGTAGTGTCTCAGAGCACCAGAGTCCCTTTAGAAAACCTCTCATTTTACTGCAGCAGGGTCTGACCCTCTCAGTCCTGGTTCTGGTTCTCCCGTGCCCCCCTTCCCTCCAACGGGTCCCGCAATATGTCCTGGGTCTCTAGCAGCGTGGTGTCGGTGTTGATTTAATTATTTTTATTAAAGGAAACTAACGTGTTTGTGTCTCTTCTGTCAGGTATCAGTTTTACCTGCAGGTCCGTCAGGACGTCCGTCAGGGTCGTCTGCCGTGCCCCCCCCGCCTCAGACCCAGACTCTCCGCTCTGATGCTGCAGGGTGAGAAAAAACACTTTAATGTGAATTATTTACCAAACAATGAGCTCTAAATCAACACTCATCAACACGCGATACCATTTATATTGTACTTTTAACATTTTAAACATTTTCCCTTTTTATTATTCTAAAAATAGAAAACATGTTTAGAAGAAATTATATTTATTATTTATTATTTTATTTTATTTATTATTATTTATTAAAACAATATAAATTATTATTATTATATTATATAATTTATATAATATATATATCTACTTTTTCTTTTTAGAAAAATATGACATTTTAAAAAGGAAAAGTATTTGCATCATTGATGTTAATATGACACCGTGAATAAGATTGTTAAAAAGTTCAACATTTATTCAACGTAAATTGAATTTAACTAAATAAGAAAACATGAAACATCGGAGCGTCACAGTTAATTTGTTTCTATTTCTATTTATTTCTTTTTATTTCTCTCAGCGGAGAGAGGAGACCAAAGTGAGACGGAGCCTTCAGACTCAGAGGAGAACCAGGAAGTACAACACATCTACAAATCACTCAGGTAGACAGGAAGCATCACCTTTCAAAATAAAACAACAGGAAAGAAATAAATGTGTTCAAACCAGGAGACAACCTCCTGTTCTTCATGTGTTAAAGCTGCATTCTCTCTAATGTCCACCAGGGGGCGACTCCTCTGGTTGTATAGAAGTCTATGAGAA